AGTACATAAAAAACTGAGCAGCACTCTGTGCAGTTTGTTTTGTGACAGTGCATAAAATAATCCAACCTCAACTTCAACCAGCTACAACATTAAATTGCTGTTTATATGTTAATGCATTAATAATGAAATTCCAATAATGGAATATATAATAACAGAGGCACTGCACAAAAATCTGGACCTCATACATATGCAGTCTCAGTGGGTCCCTACCCTTGTAATAACTGAATCAGCAAGTAAACACATGCATCTGTGGTGGTCATATTGTAAGGGTAATTACTAAGGCGGCTTTCACATTCGGGACCTGGGCCCGGATCCAAGTTCACTTTACCCCAAAGTCCAGTTTGTTTGATTAGTGTGAACACTCTGTCCTGTACACAGTACTGTACCCTAGACCTGGGCACGGATCAGCGAACAGTGCCATGGTCCACTTGAAAAGATGGTCTTGAACAGAGGTTCCCAAACTTTTTCATATCAACAACCCCCATAATAGATTCACATTAGACCACAGACCCCAGTTTGAGAGCATTCTGTCTTAATGAATCCCCTCTAAGTATTTTTTATTTTTAGGTGTGAAGATAAAGTCTTCATAGTCAATCAATTATCAAACTGGGAACACTATGAATTACTTTCAATCAAAACGGCCAACTCTGTTTCATCCCCTGTGGTTCCAACTTCCATAAAATGCGATGAAAGTTAAAATATTGTAGTCCTCCTTTTGCTGCTCAGTTTAAAAAAGCATTGGTCTTCAGTACGGTTCACGTGTATTTGGGTATGGTGCGCATCAAATATGAAAACAACTGTACCAAAACACAGATGTAGACTGCTATTTATCTGATTACTTGTGAAGCTCTGCTGGAAAATGAAAGTGAAACTTCAGCTTCCTTGCCATCTTTCTTTACATTTACTCCTCTCTGTTACTTTAGTAGTTTATATTGAGATTCAACTCAACAGTCCTCAAAAACATGAGCCTGTTCATTGAACATGCACAACACTGTCAATCTAATCCTCTGAGCTGCTTGTTTCTCCTAAACCTAACCAAGCAGTTTTTTTAGACCTCGGAATGAGAATGTGTAGTCGAGGCAAAATGTGACAGTGACATGGTGGACTAGTATGTGTATTACAGATGACCGGGTTGAAACAAAAAACAAACCTGGGCCCTGTGTACTTAGTTCCACTATTTCCCTCACTACTGCCCCTGTGCTTTTATTATTGATACTTCAGCTATTGATATTTCTGTACTTTCACTTTAGTCAAATTTTGAGTGCAGAATATTTTTACATGGGGGTTGGTCAACACTTTTTCTTTTCCACATTAATAATAATTTAGACAGACAGTATGCAAGAAGGCATACATAAATGAATGGCTCTACACTGCAGTGGAGAAAACAGACTGGTGTTGTTTCTCTGTTTTCAGTCTCTCTCTCTTGTTTTGTTTTTTTAATACACATTTTGCTTGCAGCTCTGAACTGCGCCCTCACACTCAAGTTTCCCTGAGTCGCCTTGCTTTTATAAAAGAACAATGTGGCCAGAGTTAATGATAGCTTGTACAAATTGCACTGTGACTTTGGCCTGGCTACAGACATTAATTGGTGCATTATGTGAGAATGAAGCTCCTAATGAAGCACTAGTTTGACCGTAGGCTCCTGGGGACATTCCTTCGGAGGAGAGCTTTGTCATGGTTTGTGCTAAATGGTTACAAATCTCAGCTTTTCTTTGAAGACTAATATGCGACACAGCAACTATACAAACTAATTACAGCCCTCTGCTGTCTTTACCATTGTACCATTTGAATGACCCTATGCATATTTATTTTGTATTATTAAGGGAATTGGCCTATTGTATTTACCCTAGTGTTCTTACAATGCTGTCAACAGCATAATTACAGTATCGTGTTGTCAGTAATAGTAAACTATTGACCACAGAAAGGCAGTGTAAGAGCAGCCAGTTGGAGACCAAGACAGTGATACAGTATATGTACCTCCCTCTGTGTATGTTCCTGAGAGTGTGTGAGAGAGAGAGCACTCATGGGAAAACAACGTGTCATTGCTGGTATTTTGTTCAGAGACAATGCATATATAATGTGCTAATGTTCAATGCCTCTTGTTTTCCCAGAAAATTTATGCATATGAGGTGTATCTGTACTTTTCTGCTGGTATTTGCATAATCTTCACATACCTCGGGGTTCCGCTGTGGCAGGACTGAAGTGATGGAATGATTATCAGCTACCTGAAGTGGATGAATTTTCCAGACTTGTCTCTCTCTCTCTGTCACTGCGATATGTTGGCCAGTTGAACTGTCTCTGCAACTGCCAACATTTGTGTGGACAGCTGAGGAACCGGGTGCACTAGAAGTCCAGTAATTTAAATATCACTCACCCCTAATCCGAAGGTTGTTTGTTCGATCCCCGGTTCCTGTCACATGTTGAAGTATCCTTGAGCAAGATACTGAACCCCGAATTGCTCCCGATCTGTGTGTGAATGTGTATGAATGCATTAGTTTCCGTTCGATGGTTTGCCATCACTGCGTGAATGTGTGTGAAAGGGTGAATGTGGCACGTAGTGTAAAAGCACTTTCAGTAGTCGGAAGACTAGAACGGCGCTATACAAGTACAGGTCCATTTACCATTTAGCAGCTCCAAAGTATGACTGTATTACTGTGACCAGGAACAGTCAGGTCACAGATATTCCTTAAAAGCAAATTTTTTTCTTATTGTCAGCCTACAATGAACGTGTCAGCTAACAAATATTGTGTGTGCATTCTCTGTGCCGTACAGCAGTGGTTCCCATAATCTTCCTTCATTACCACGAATGTTGGCTGTGTAGATTATTTCTAACAACACACACTGTACATAAATACTCCAGAGCACCAAATCTGCAACTGAAAGTAATCCCAAACAAACACACTATTCATTTATGTTTGAGTAATTTTGTAAAAAACTACCCAGCTGTTTTTGTTGGCAATTACAAAGCTTTTTAAAAAATGTAGCCATTTGGGACCAGTTTCCCTTTTACAGATTTGCTCCATGGAAGCTGAAAAGTATTGAGAGATGAACTAACAGGTTGCTGTTTTGTTAACATAAAGAAAATTTGAATATCTAAAATACACAGAATCATGCCAGCCTTATCTTTTTAAGTGTTGTATTTTTCTCAGTGTTTTGTCTCAGTGATTAAGCCCTTTCTCTCTATAATGCTATGTGTACTGATTGCTTTTTAGTAGAAATTAGTCAGTGTTCTACCTAGCTTTTGTTTTGTTTTTGCACATTAATACAATGAGAACATTGTGCTGGCTTTCTTATATCTGATTGTAATTTTGCTATGTTCACCAGTTACTTTTCTGCCATTTGATGCTGGGCAGGTAGCATACAGATGTGTTTTTAGAGATTTGCTATCAGATTGGGCTGTAAAAGCAAAACAATAAGCTGAAAGACACTAAAATGTTCTGCAGAGCTGAGTGGAACTGCAGAGTGAGGAGACATTTCTTTGTGAATTTGTCACAAGTGACACCTTTTGCATTTGACCAATTTTTCATATGAAATATTGTTTATTGCAGTTTTAAAAAGATTTTAACTTGAACTGAATCTAATGAGTATTGTAATAATTACTTTTCATGGCAGTGACTGATTTAAAAGTCCTTAATATTGATAACACTTATATAACCAGCATCTGAACGCAATCAAATCTAATTTTGAGTGCTTAATTGAAGTCCCAAAGGTAACAGTTTAACATCAATTAATAATTTCTACATTAGTTTTTGGGACACTGAAGTAAATGTGAACAAACAAGACCAGTGCTGAGAATGCTGACAGCCTTTACTGGCCTTTTAACATTGCATTTGTGTGTGAGCAAGGTTCGTTTTTAGAGCACAAAAGGTGAGGAGGGCACTGTCTTTACAGCACAAATAGAACTAAGGCTAAGCAGACGGTTGAAGGAGTGAAAGGTCAATGGAAAAAAACACTTCCAATTTTAGCTGCTTGAAGAAAGTAAAAGGGTAAAAGGGACCAAGTATTAAGTCCCCTCTGATTCACCCATCGACTCCATTTACTCTTAATACCCTTCATGCCCTAGATTGCTATCAAAAATGCTCAGGTGTAAATGACACCAACCAGCTCAGGAGGTGGTTTGAGCAAACTTCCATCTTGCTTGCAGACCAGTGGTTCCCCCACTACTCCACTAGGGGTCACCAAAGCTTCACTGGGGGTTGCGAGGCCTTATTGATTTTAAGTGTAAGAACCTCTTAAAAGTACTGTGTGTAGGTTCACTTCTGTGAAGAAATGTAAATGTAAAGTAAATTGCCTAATAGAACAATGGCTAAGCGTCAAGGACAAAAAAACCCTGAATTTGTCAAAAAAGAAGCCCAATAAGTATGACAATATAAAAAATTGTATAAAAAGTTCCTGTAACAGGAAATAATCTGCTAGAAATTCATGAATATAATATGAAATATCCATAAAACTCAGTCAGGAGTTGTCAGTTTACTAAATGATAGAGATGGGATTCTGGGAAAAAGGTTGGGAACCACTGTTGTAGACCATAGAGTCCATCCAGATGAGTCATCCATCGAAGTTATTCTTCTTCTGGTGTTTTTGGCAGTTACCAAATAGGCTTCTAGTGCATTGCCACACTGTAGTTGGGTTGACCCTGACTTGCATGTAAAACCAAGATATACTTGCAGTCAGTTGTGTGTTGTGGCTAAATTGGAGACTCATATTATATGGCTAAGAGTAAACAAAAGTATAATAAATCATAACTGGATTTTATCCTAATACAAGACACTGGCATTGACAAGAGTAAATGGTCTCATTGATTTTACAGCACAAATAGTGCTATAAAAGAAAGGTGGTCATAAATCTGTAACAATTTGACAAGTACATTTTCTTTTTATTCTAGCCTCTTCGCTGAAGAAGATGAAGAGCCTTTTAGTCTCTTTTGTGTGTGAATGTGTCTATGTGTAATGGTTATCATCTTCATGTGTATTCACCTTCTAATGTATTCATCATTTCAGGGAGTTCAGCCACTGGAAGGTGAACAGCCTGGCGACAGAGAAGAGAGATTTCCTCAAAGCTCCGTTGCCCTTAGCGCCAGAGTTCCTACGCAACCTGCGGTTACTGGGGCGACGGCCAACCCTGCAGCAAATCAACGAAAACCTCATCAAGAAGTACGGGACCCACTTCTTAGTTTCTGCTACCCTGGGAGGTAAGGAAGGACTGCAGGTGACACACTCGCCTTTATTCTCGGGTTAGGAAGTGTTGGGACGCACCAAAAATAGAACTACTTGTTTTAAGTCTCAGAGGAATTCACAGTAAAACACACTGAGTTATAGCCTATGTTAGTGTAGCGGTGCAGAAGTGTAGCATCTGTGCACTTGTGTTCAAGTTAAAATGTCAACTGAAAAGCAACAATGGCAACAGTACGACACCTTGCACCTGCAGCATTCAACCCAAGTTGTTTTCCTCAGTAATTTTCCACTCATCCTTCCCCCTGATGAACATCAGCTGCAAGAGCCTTACAAAGCAGGAGAGGGATTAAATTGATCCATTTCGTAGCATATGTCTGTTTCTATTGGATTTCTTTTTAGCCGCTATCTCCGAGGAGAGAAGTAACTCACAAAACAGAATCACCAGCAGTATCGATTGCGTGCGCCTCACAAAACAAGACTGAGACCTGGGTTACGTTTAGAGCGGCGACCTCATGATATTGATACACTGCTGATCCCTCCATGGTCATCACATACAGTAGCAGCCCAGATATATGAGTACATCTTTACAGTTGGCAGTTTTTTATAAAGGGACTTGTAGGAAATGCGTATAAACATCTCAGCATCTAAGCGTTCGTTCCATCAGAGTCAGGGGAGATTTACAAGGCCGGGGTACTCGGATCAGTCTGCAATATACAGTGAATGTATAAAATAGCAGTGGATACTTACTCACTCATGATATATATATATAATGGACTTTAAATTATGACAAAGCACTATCATTTTAATCTGACATTACCCATACATCTTCTAAAGCTGGCTACCACCCATTCACACACTGTTCACATAGAAGACAAATCCTGTTCTCTGCACACACTCTCCTAACAGTCTCTCTGATATTTTAGTGATGTGTTCGGTTTGCATGCTCAGACACCTAACTTTGGTGCCACTTATCACTGGATGCATGCACCGGAGCATCAGCGTGGGAGACAGAGCAGAGATGAATTCAGCGGCAGACTGATAGTTAGACTCTATATGTAATTAACAGCTTCAGCTAAATGGGCCGAGCCAGCCTGCATACTGATTAGTCTGGCTGAGCAAATGCACACATCCCAGATCTCTTTTTTTATTCTTTTTTGTGTTACTGTTTTCATCTCTTTCTTTTGTGCTTTTTATGGCTGTCTCACCAGCCATGATTACATTGAGCTGTGAAGTAAATGTTTGCACAATGTTAGGCGGGTTGAAGTGTATAAATTATCTTAATGACTGTCAAAAATAAAATGCACGTATGCATATTACGGCCTAACCCTAACAAGTGTTGATGAAGCTAAGCAAAGAAACAAACTTGGTACTTAGGCGTTGCATTACATTATTGGACTGTTAGCAGAAGGTAGTGTTTGCCATGGACACAGGCCCATCACCAATGCCAGCTAGGGGCCTCCACGGGCCAACAATTCCAGACCTAGCCCGGCCCCAGCCCGACAACGTCTGCAATTTTTCACATCGACCCCAATTAAGCTCTCTCTGATGCTGCAAAAACACACACACTCACACACTCTCTATGGGGACAATGAAAGGAGAGAAGTTAAAAAAGCTCTCTGCGATGCTCGCGCTGGTACATGCAAAAACACACATACACTATGGGGACAATGAAAGGAGAGAAGTTAAATGAGCCTGAGTCCGACCTGAGCCCGGTCTATAAATAAAGAAAAAAGACCTGAGCTAACAAAACCACAGCAGACCTTCAACAGTGGCACATTGTTTGCCCCCTCATTACACACCCATACACCTCCCAAAATTACTTTTTACGTAAAAAGAAAAAAAATGTGACTCATGAACAATTAGTATATCAACTGCAATATTTAATGCAATGTGTGAAAAGTCATTGTGAGCAGGCCTACTGAGAACAGTTTTCATAGTCTGTATTGGTCTGTTGTGGCAGGAAGGTTTGGACGGGATTCAAATCCAGCTTTCAGCCGTCAGCAGCACTTAAAATTGTGGGTTTGTCATGAGTGGCAGCTCTGTGCCATCAGTATTAAAGTGGCATACTGTAGTTAAGAAGTGTACTTTAGTGATTAAGATAACTACACTGTCATATTCTTTCTCGGACATAACGTCATATGGTGCTTATGTAACTGTAATGCTGTGGTTTTGTTTGCTAATTACAAATACATATCATGCATAAATTGGTTTAGTAAGAAAATCACATTGAAATAATATTGTGAATTGTGCATAAGGATCATAATGCAAGAGGTGCAGCACCCTCTCACAAATGAAAAAGTTCATGAATGACAATTCGTCCTACAATATTCTTGAAATGTCCATCCAAGATATTTCCTCAGACTGCATGGACACATTTTTAAGGGCATTGCATCATGTATATATTTCACACTCAGAATTTAGGCTGTCAAATAAGGAGGTGGAGGCTAAATATAGTGCACCATAATAGGGAGTGATCTCAGACAGAGCCCGATTGTCACTATTAGCCAAATACCATGGGTTTAAACCCAACTAATGTTACTCTTTTGACAAGACTTGCAATCACTCATTGCTCTTTTAAAATAGTAACTTTAAATAAAAAAACTTAATGAGAAACTTTTAACTTTAAGAAATCACATACTGAAACAGACCTAATTATCCTTTAAAAATATTGCAGAGAGCCATGAGCATGTTACATCAAGGACACAGAGAAATGGGACGGCAGTTTTATTTAATATCACACTTAGTGTAGGGCAAATCAATACAATGACTCTTTATTAAAACCTTGTGGCAGTTATAGTGTACTACAATAACAACGGCTCACCCCCTCCACACCTGCTTTTCTAAGGATTTGACTTCAGACTTCAGAGATGAGACAATAATCTACATTTCCACCAAACTCTGCTGACATTATGCCCCACCAAGCAAGTTAGGAGTAAAAGCTGAAGTTAACATGCTTCACATTCAAACCTTCCTCCATGTATTTATTTCCTGTTTAAACTGACAAACAGCGAGCAAGACAAGGCACAATGAGAGCACCGCTGAATGTTTTAAAAATGTTATCAAATGTGACACTGTGGCGAGCAGACATTTATTTAGATATTTTTAGTATTAGCTTGCTTCTGCTAGTTAGCTACTAGGCCAGGGGACAGCAATATTTTTATCAAAGGAGCCACAAAACATATTTGAGCCTTATAATGCTGACTGGCTGAACTGATTTCTCGCCACAGATGAAGCCTAACCATAAACTCATTTTCCTCCAAGACTTTTCTTGTTTGGATTTGGAGTCCATAGCTAGTCTATCTAGGCAGACTCAAGACTGATATTGAGGCAAAACATCGAGGAAACGGCCCCTGGTCAGGACATAACAGAAGAAGAACATTTTAGTTGACAAAATATTGAAACAATTTTTTTATTTGTGTGTAACGGCCATACATTTTTACAACTGGAGAATGTAAGAATGACAATGAAAATGTATGAATTCTGATTCATTTCCGTATATGCCTATAGGCTATCTGTCCAACAATTAACTTAAAATGCTAAATCCTTATCAGACCTTTCAGTGTCTAATTCTGCACTTCCAAATGCTGCTTCGAAACTGAAACCGAACCAAATGAAGAGCGCTTGTTGGCTATTTCAGGGGGAGCTTGGAACATTTCTAGCAAAGACACAGAGCCATGTCAGCAGCTATTTAGGTAACAGACAAGTGACTGGCATTGGTCAGCAACACTGGCAGTCACTCATTGCCCTTTTTAATTAGTATCTTTTAAAATAAGAAACTTGATTTCATGAGAAACTTCATATTTCTCTCATCAGCTTTTTTTTTTTTTAAAAAATCACATACTGAAACAGACCTAATTCTCCCTTTCAGTTATCGCTTGGAGCCACAAGCATGTTACGTAACACCCTCAGAGGACACAGAAAAACACAACCCATTGTCTTTAGGTTTGGCTTTGTTAATGGTTCTATAATTGTGTGATGAAAGGGAGCGAAGCAAAAGCAAATGATACATTATGTGCATCACAGCAGACAAACCACAAAACCACAGTGAGACAGTGAAGGTCTGCCAAAGAAATGTCAGACGCAGAATGTCACTTGAGTTCTTCCAAGGATAACATCATCAGCCTGTTGCTCTGGCACAGTGTAATGTCATAATGGAAGTGACCCGTCAGTAATCTTCCCCCTGTAAGCAGAGGATTCAATTCTTTCGTAGATAAGATTCCAGAAGAATTTTCAACACTGTCAAATAATCATACAAAATAGAGCTTAAAGACTGGATTTATTGATTGATTATTGATCCACAGGAGAGGAGTCTTTGACCATTTTCCTGGACAAGCAGAAGCTGAATAAGAAGTCGGAGGGTAACAGCAACAGCTCAGTGGTGTCTCTGGAGCTGCTCCATCAGCTGGCCGCTTCCTACTTCACAGATCGAGAGAGCACCCTGAGGCGACTGCACCACCTCCAGATCGCCACCTCTGCTATCAAGGTACTGTACAGATGCACGCTCAAGTGACTAAGCTTACTTACAGTATGCATAACCACATGCATATTCTTTACTTAAAAGCAGTGCGGGAAAATGTCTTTTTCAATATATAGCACTGTTTGTGTGCTATATGTAGACCTGTGTATGCAGTTCTCCAGGTCCACAAACAACCACCCATCAAGGTAGACACGCAAACATTAACGCTCCTATAAAACTGTCCCTTTGGGATATATTACCCTGTGTTGCACCTCTAACAAATAGTTCCGCTTGCTCTCAAGGTATGCACACAATCTTTTTTAAAGATTATTTTCAAGGTGCATCATTCCTCAAGGGCTAGGGGGAGAGACGAGAGAGAGCTTGCAAGGACATTTTTTAAAAATGGCAGGCTGGATTAAAAGCACAGTGTATGCGCTGCTACCCCACAGAGGCACTAAAGCACGGCAAATGTCAGGTTTCGTTCCAGTCCCAGAGGGAGAAGTGTATTTATGCATACTGTACTCTACTGTACGCCATCTGGACTGGGTTACATGCTGGTGTGCGCTCTTTGTGCACACATGAGGGTTAACACACCTGGCAATTATCATCAGTTTTGTGAAAGGCTGTTGGTGGCTCTGACTGGAGAATCTGAAGTGGTGTTCCCCCTTTTTATAGCACATGAGCCAGTTCTCTGGTTCGACACCGTGAACCTTCACTTACCCAAAATCCACCACCAGTCTTTTACCAGTGCTTTTCATCATTAATTGGAAAAGAGGAACAGTTTTGTTAAAAATCCACTAAAAGAAGACAGAAAAATAAATCCTATTACCTCCTCCGCCTGGTTTTACCTTGTATAAGTCCTTTATTTTTTCCTCTCTCGACGACTGGAAGCAAAGCATAACCAAGTGATGCATTTTTCACATCGGAACAGATCTGCCGACTTGTATGCGATGACAGCAGGTGTGTGGGTGGGCGGACTGTGCTTTCATGCTTCAACTTAAATAGCTAAATCTGATTGAAATGTATTTGCCAAAAGTGTCAACTGTGTGTGTAGTGTACCTTAAATAAGGGTGCTCACCATCAAGGGTGCTGTCGCTAGAAACACTGCGTTCGGCATGCTGGCAGTACGCAGTATTAGTATTGACCATTTCTATTACAGAGAGACACTCTAAAAACTCTAATATGGCCGTATATGAGGCACAGAACACAAAGGCTTCTTGTCTCAAATTGCTTTTACCTAGAGAGAAAAGTTTGATTACCCTGAGAACTGAAATTGAATTTTAATGACTGAAAAGAAAGTTAGTTGCACATTTTCATGACATATTAGCTACAGGGAGTCTGAATGAAATCAGCATCCAGTCAAACTTTTATTTTTATTTATTTTTTGCATGCTGTACTCTCAAAAGAAAAAAAGGAAAAACAGATAACCTCTGCATAACCAGTTTTTGTCAATTTATTGACAGGTTTCATCACAGAAAACCAGCACTTTATTATGTAGGCAAAAACAACAAGCAAGACTTTCCCTGCTTACTGAGGCATGAATGCTGCATCTCAGTCACAACGGCTGCAACATAAGGCCACATTATCTGCCGAGCCTGAATTAATTATGAACCCAAATCTTGCTCATTTTGATACATTTGTGTCTGTGGGGAGAGGCTAATGAGCGACTGTCACAAGCCTCCTTTTATTCTTTGCAAAGGAGTCAACAATTGTAGATAAGCAAATGGCGACCATTAAGATCTGTTTTCTGCATCATTTAGTCGGTTTTCAATCCGCCCAGTGATATCCTGTGAAACACACTGCACCAATTCAGCTGCTGCACTGCTTCTCGTGCATATTTCACAGCGTGTCAGTTTTTGACAGTTTGTCAGATTCCACAGTTTGGTCTGAGTGGAGCTGTGTTTGCCAAAGTAAGGCAAAATTATGTATGATATTGATGGAGTTTAAGTTGAATTCAAAAGTTGCAAGACATTTGATATGGAAAGTCATATTTAAAGCAGTGGAAAATAGGGATATCCTCAAAGTAAAAGCTGTTTCATTATACAACTTGAATTGATGTGATTTTAAATTAAATGCATATGATGTAATAAATCTAGTTGAGTTGAAGATGAAACTGGGCAGTTGCCCAGTTCTTAATGGCTCCAACTGCCCCAAAAGTCCCAGGTTGACTGTATGTCAAACGCTTGTACATAATTAGAATAAATGTAAATTTGTTCTGGAATTTGCACCTCCGAAGTGATATATCGGTTCAGGTGGATCCTGCATTATTACTTAATCTCATGGCCCTGTCTTGCAGAGGGGCCCTGTGTCAGATCTAGTTTTAGCATATCGTTAAGAACAACTTAACAGCAGCTGAAAATCTTGTTTTTGCTGACCTCCAGTAGTTTACCTTCTCACCTTGCTGCAGTGAAGCAGAAGTGAACTTCAGGGTGTCTGAAAAGAAGAAAACTATTTTATAAATAAAAAGTGTGTAAAAGCGAGCCGCGACAACTGCAAACGAGAGGGAAAAATCCAAAGCACTAATATTTCTGTTATTTCTATCTGAAATATCTTGAAATTAATTTTGAAATTGAATTTTTGTGATTGCTACTTAAGTGTCTTGGATTATATCCCCCTGGCAAAGGCTGTCAACCTGTAATATTACAGCCTTATTATACTCAAGACTCAAAGTGTCTTGTTATTTTCCTTCTTGTTTGCAGTTCAGGGTGTTGTGTTATTGGGGGTGTAATTGTGACACTGACCACACCCAACCACACAATGAGGCACTTCTCTTCACTCAGGTGTTACTTTTTAAAAACTACACACCATGAGTGCAATATACTGTAAACAAAAACATGTGTTTAATCAAACTAAATGACAGAAAACCTGTGGCAGGGGCTGGATTACCAACAGACCATAGCGACCAACTGACCCCTCACAGCCCCAGTTTGTCTGTGTGGCAATCACTTGGCAATTTAATCAGAATTTTATTTGCAAATATGCACCACTAGTTTTCTTTTCTTCTAGGACTTGGCACTTGTCAGAAGTTGATCCCACCACAGTGACGATTCAGGCAGCTGAAACTGTCGTCTCTAAATAAAAATGCTTCTGAAAATAAAGCACGACTTCTGTTTTTGATGTAGTTTATTTTAGACAACTAAATGAGCTGTATAGTTTTAAAAAAAAAAAAAAAAATCTTTGAAGTGTTACTCCACAATATTACAATTTCTTTGTGTTCATATTAGGAAGTAGAGAAAAAGCACACAAAAAAGGAAGAATTGCTTAAAACTGCATGACGGCATATTTCCACAGTAGCCTCTCTACTTTCCCTCGTCTCTGCTGCAGAGTCTGAGTAACACCAGCTGTCAGCAGCAAGGACACACCAATGACTCTCCCAAACTCTTTTAAAGAGTAGAAAGTCCTCCCGTCCACCCACCTCGTACATTTCTAGCAGTTTTAGGCAAACTTTAGTAAAAGTACCATTAAACCGGGGAGAGCTAGATGCAACAGCATAGCATGAGGCAGGCAACCGAAGCTGCCCCTGAGGTATTGTATGCCAACTAAAAAAGAAACAGAGTTATCACAGCGGAGCTCAAGAGCAGGGGTCCTGACAGCCTTGGGCATTAGGGACTATAGTCCCAAATGTTTTTATTCTAGCCCCGAACCTTATAATGCCCCTTTTTTATATAAATTTCCCCCTGACTGCACTGATTATTGCTACCGGGGAGGGCGGGGGACTTGAAAGGCTGATGCAGTGGGAGCTGGCGGTACTGTGCTGTGAGTGGCAGGAAGTGATACTGTACAAAGGAAGGAAGGTGGTTACTAGAGTATCATTACCTTTTACATACGTGGAAACAAAATGCAATTACTTCTACACTTGGGAAATATACTATAGGCATAGTATGCTAGTAAATGCATGCTAACCTAAATTGTATAACAATACCCACTATTTTGATGGGCTTCATTCATTTCTGATGCTTACCTGGGGGCAGGTCACAGAGGCAGCAGGCTCAGCTAACCAGCCACAACCTCCAGCTTCTCCTGAGGATCCCAAAACCTTTCCAAGCCACATAAGGTATACGGTATAATCCCTCCAGTGTGTTCTGAGTCTACCCCAGGATCTCCAACCAGTTGTCCAGACAGCCTCCACAGTTATCACATATATTATATAAAATAAATAATACAAACTTAATGCACAGACACTGTGTAGACCACTCTGTGAAAATTTCACATAAACCAGATCACAACCCCCTTTTAAGGTTTACAACCTGATTCCAGTTGGTGGCGCTAGGAGTCTCTTATCAAACATGTGAAGTTTGTTGCAGATTGGACAAAGTACACTGAGGTTATGAAAACGTCCTGTTTAATGATGAATCATCGAAATTCAACAAAACACCACAGACACACCGTTTAACGCACAGCCACAAAGAGCACAACTTTTAATCAAGATTAGATTGCACTGACTGTCGATTCGATCAATTCCCTAGAAGGAGTTAGGTTTTTTTGTCCGTCTTCTCATGATACATGCACATATTTATTTTCATATATTATCAATAAAACATGCCGTTGGGGCTGCGTTTATGGGGTGTGATCAAGCCATTCTGCCACACCCATATGCGTGACTCATATAATACGTACATTTCCGCCACTGCCGAGTTTCATGAGTTCATGCACAAGTTGCGGCCGCCAAAAATGCGATTCATTGATGAATAAAATAATAATATTTCCTTCAGTTTCAGTTCCTTCGCTTTTGCTTTGCTGCTCGGGCCCTAATTATATAAGATGTCAAACTGTTATCTATTGTAGAAAACATTTATTTACTTTTACACTAAATCTAAAGGGAATGTCACTTCTCCCATATCGCATGTATAAACAGACACGTGTCCATAATGTTCAGGAGGAATTCATGCTTGAACCTTCATTTTTTCACACCACAGCTTCCAATAATGACAAAATCTGATTAGATTGTGGAATGTGTTGCTGCATATGTAGATTTGCATATAAATGATGTAACGTCACAAAACAGATTTTCCTTAATGCTCTAAGAT